ATGTATGTGTGTATAGGTGTGTGTATATGTATGTATAACTGTATGTGGATGTATGTGTACATACAGATGGATGTGGACATATATGTGTGTATGCGTATATACAGATGGACGTAGATGTGTGTGTATAATAACAATAACTGAAGAAGAGGTCATTAATTTAGGACAGAGTGAGGAAGACATGGGCAGGCTTGTAGTGGGTAGATGGAGGGATAAAGGTGCTGTAAATATAACATTCTAAGAAATGAATACATAAAACCAATCTTTTAAGAGAGAAGAAGAACTGGCTTAGAGCTTCCTAAAATCACAAGGTTCTGACACATCTTGCCACCATCAAGCCCTGAGCCCGAGCAGTCCTGGCAGACATGGATGCCGAAGCCAGCTCACAGTGAAAGTGGAGCTGACACTTCTCCTAAGGCACTGGGGTCTTCTAACCAATGGCGCTTATTCAAGGATCCGTGGGACTGATTCTCTACGTGAACACCCACTTATAAACAAAAAACTACAAACTGACTCTAAGAACATGCGCCGTAGTGGTGAAGTCCCTGCCTGGCGTGCACAAGGCAAAGCCCTGGGTTCTAGTCCTGTCACCAAACAAAACCACAGACTTGAAATCTACCTATTGGCCAGTCTGTAGAGGAAAAAATGGCAAATACAAGAATCCTGCCCAAGGTTCCCAATGTGACCCCGGGCTCAGCTAACTGTGGGCTAACAAGCTAGCAATCCTTTAGCTCAAGGCCTGTCTATAAGAATAGCTTTCAAATAAGACCTTGGGTAAACTCAGCCACAAAAGTTTATTTTAAGCACCAGGGAGATTAAATCACATACTTCAGTCCTTAAAAGATGAAAAAGTTTAACAAAACATTCATTAACATGCTGCCAAAAAAGTGGTCTTGAGGTATGCTATTGATGACATTAAATAAAGGGAAGGAATGCAAGGCATTATTTTCTCAGCTAAAGAACAAAAGGCTCGGAGCACCGTGCCAGCAGGGTTAGCTGTGCCAGCAGGGTTAGCCGATTACAGGAGTCACCACTGTCCGCTACAGAAGACATCAAAATGAAACTGCCAACAGGAAACTTCCACAGGTAGCCTTCTAGAACCCTCTGCACTGGGGGGCTCTCAACATTCACCACAGGGTGCACAAAGAGAGATCTGAGAAGCCAGTCTCTTTTTTGTTAATTTTTAAAATCAGATTTGTTTTATTATACATGTGAGTGTGTTGCATGCACAGATGTCTGTGTCTCCGATGTGTGACTGGTGCCCTCAGAGACCAGAAGGGGGTGCTAGATCCCTTGGAACTGGAGTTATGGATGCTTGTGAGCCAAGATGATGCTAGGAACCACGCAGGTGCTCTTAACTGCTAAGCAGTCTCTCTGCCCAGAGAACTGGTTTCTTTTCTTTCTCTTTCCTTCTTTCCTTCTTTCTTTTTAAATAATTATTTATTTATTTATCTTATGTCTATATGTACACTGTAGCTGTCATCAGACACACCAGAAGAGGGCATCAGATCCCATTACAGATGGTTCTAAGCCACCATGTGGTTGCTGGGAATTGAACTCAGGACCTCTGAAAGAACAGTCAGTGCTCTTAACCACTGAGCCATCTCTCCAGCCCCCCAGAACTGGTTTCTTTAAGGTTTATTTTGCGACACTGAGTACACCAAACTGACCCAATCTTGAGGAATGAGGCTAATAGTTCCAGGTGTATGAAAAAATACAAATCAGTTCTGAATTCATCAGATGACGTTTTTCATTTAGGTTGAAATGTCATGTTTATGTCATTTTTCCCAACTACAGCAAGGACAGCTATCTGTTTTTTTATACTATATGATTTTAGAGTAAGGATTTCCTTGTCTCCCTAAAATTTTAATTTTTCTTTTACCAGATAAAAATAGAAGACACAATAACACCTATTTTACTGCCGCTCTGAAAATTGATGCTTGCTCTCAAGAAAAGAGCTGTCTAGGGAGAAAAAAAAAAATTAAGAAATTTAGAAAGACATTTTCACACAAGTGGAAACCCAAGCTACATGAATACCTTTGTAAATCATGAGTAACTGCAAGCTAGCTGATGTGTCCTTCTACCTGTCCTTTCATGCACAGGAAGTAAACCATCTACTTCCACAACAGGTCATCCCCTATGACCAGAGAGCTATACATAAACAGCAACTCTGGAAACCATCCATTCGCGGGGCCTCATGATGGCAACGTAACTAACAACCTCTGTCTATGATCTTTATAACTTATAGGTGAACAACGGTGTCCAGGCTTCCCTGGAGACGGTCACCCAGTCAGAAGACCTCTGGAGTCAAGACTGAGGGATGAACTGACAACTTGGTTCTTTGGATTTCATCAATCCAACTGGGCTTCCCGTCATGAAGACCAACAGGCCCAAGTGAGAATCGCAAACTGTCTGAGCCAGTGTGTGCAAGGACTCACTATCTTCTACCAAGGGCAAGATGGCTTCCCACACCCATTCCTCCCCACCCCAGGAAACAGCTGCAGGCATGACCTCACATTCATTATCTGGTGTGGTAGCATCGGAAAGGAAGAAAACTTTCCTGAACAAGTCACCTCCTCGTGAGTCACACACTGAAGCAGAGCTTCATGACAGCCCTGGGTCACCTGCATCAGCAGTCAGGGCCACCCAGGGCAACTAGCAGCTTGCCCCAGGCGTGTCTCCACTGTCCCCTGTCCTCAGTCTACCACCTCATGATGATGCAGCCTGTACCCCCTGCCTGCTAAACCCTCTGCCTCTCTTTCCTGCCAGTAAAATAAGATGACACGGTCAGCAGCCTAGAAACTGTTGGGAGCTCAGTGTGATCACAAGGCTCACATGTGAGGACACACCTGACATGAAATTCCCAGTCAGTGACGGTGTCCCCCTCTGGTCTATCCTGCTGCTCCCCTTCTCCCTCAAATACCGCTCCTTCTCCATTTCCTGCCAGACAGGAACTCAGCCCTGCCAGTGGTTCTTCGTTCTTGTACCTTTACACTTGAAGTTGTCATGCCATTACAGAGGTGAATCCAACTGGAAATGTAGGTCACAACCCCTTCCTGCCTTTATTTTCCTCTTCTCATCTTAAACCCCCAAGACAGGAACAGAAGACCGACCCTTGTGCTCGGTGTCGACTATAGCAGAAGCAGTCTTGGAAGAGCACAGAAATACACAGGATCATTGCAAGGGGAGAAAAGACAAGCAGCAGTGGGCGTGCATCCCTCTTTAGTACTCCGGGAAGGGATGCAGGGCACATGCTAAGAAAAAGCAAAGAGGAAAGGCTGGCAAGCAGATGTAAAAAGGAAGGGAAAAGCAGATGTGTCTCCCATAGACAGGGGCTTGAAATGAAGGCTCTAGTGAGACAGGCTCCTGTCACTGAAGAGGAAGATGACTCCCATTCCTTCAGGTCCCCAGGAAAGGACAGAGATCAAATACGAGGAAGGGTGCAGTTTCTCAAACAGTTCATCTTGTAGCTGCCATCATACGGCAGTGGAAGTGACACTGAACTTATTCACCAAGCTGGGTGCTCTGGCGTGTGTGTGTGTGTGTGTGTGTGTGTGTGTGTGTGTGTGTGTTTGCACATGTCCCCATGCATACTGACACTCAGCAAAGAAATGGTGGTTTCAATTGCTACAAAAAATAAATTCTGGAGGCTGGAGAGATGGCTCGACTGCTCTTGTCCTGAGTTCAATTCCCAGCAACCACACGGTGGCTCACAACCACTGTCATGGGATCTGATGCCCTCTTCTGGTGTGTCCGAAGACAGCTACAGTGTGCTCATATACATAAAATGAGTAAGTACATCTTTTTAAAACAAATTCTTGTTAAGAGCTAGAGATATATCTTTTCCAAAGTCCGGAAAGTGACATTCCCCAAGTATATTTACATGGATTCAGTCATCACCCTTAAAAAGGCATATATCTGCATATTCATTCGCATGTATGTACGAACTATCAAAGAGCAAACTCAAAGTTATAAAAATCTGTTCAAATTAGAAATAAGTTCCAGGGGCTGGAGAGATGGCTCAGCAGTTAAGAGCACTGATTGCTCTTCCAGAGGTCCTGAGTTCAATTTCCAGCAACCACATGGTGGCTCACAACCATCCGTAATGAGATTGGATGCCCTCTTCTGGTGTGTCCGAAGACAGCGAAAGTGTACTCATAAATAAAATAAATAAATAAATCTTAAAAAAAAAAAAAAGAAAAAGAAATAAGTTCCAGAAAATGAGGCCAGTGTATGTATTTCCTTAGTTCTTTTTAACTCATCTCGTCTGACTCTGGAAAATGATATTTCACTAAAATATCCAAAAACCAAGATATTTAGATCGCCACTTGAGCGTATTCCGAGTCAGTGCTATGCTTTTTATGCTATACCACACATTACCTTCACAGCAGTCTTTGAGGCAGATACTCTTTTTAGAACTCCTCGTATTCTGCTTGAGTGTGGCCCAGTGCACTTGCTACGTAAGTGAGCACTTGCCTCTGGTGCAGGAAGAAGCCCTACAGTGTACTCTCAGCACCGCACACAAACATACAAAAAAGAAACCACATCCGTTCATGTTAGAGCTAATTTTTACATGTGTAAGTGTGGTTATATGTATGACTTTGTAAATAGAGCTTCTTTCTCCCCCAGCCCTCCCTCCCTCCCATCTTGCCCTCCTTCCTTCCCTCTCTCTCTTTTACTTAGCCTCCCTCCCCCACCCCCTGCAATCTGTGTCTACTTCTTTCCCTTCTAGGATAAATACCACTTTTCTCTCATATTACCAGCTATATTTATTTCTTCCTTTACTTATAGGTTTATGGACATTTTATTATATTAATAATTATACACACACACACACACGTACACAGGTATGTATGATCATTGAAAATTTTTAATTGTCATTTTTCTTCACATCTTAAAAAGGGGGCTCTCTTATATAGCACTGGCTGTCCTGAAGTGCACAATGTAGATTAAGCTGACCTCTGATTCACAAAAATCTGCCTGCCTCTGCCATGTACTGGAATTAAAAGCTGCGTCACCCCACCTGCCATTTCACGTCTCATTTTTATACTGCCTTTCTACTTACTCAAAAGTGGGGCGGGGGAGGGGAACTTTAGAAATTCTACCCAGCCATCTGATAAGGTGAACGCTGGTCTTCTCATTTCCCAGATAAGAACATGAAGGCACATGACTCTTAAATGACATCTCCAGGGCCCGGGAATGACCTGCGGTGACAGCTGCCTATCTCCCCACTGAAACCCACTTTGTAAATCACTCTCCATCACATGCCATGTGCCACGAGGCCCGAGTGAGAAGGACACTCTGCAGCAGACATAATCACACTGGGCCTGCGCCTCCCAGGTGGAAGGGGCTGGCTACATTTTCCTGATCATCAGTGCATAGTTACCAATAACTCTCTCTCCAAAAAATGCTCCAAACTGAGGTCCTGCAACAGGCCCACACTGCCGGTGAGCACAACTTCTCACATCAGCTATGCCAACGCCACCAGCTCGAGGAGGCTTCCTGCAGTCACAGATGCCAACCATCTGTCCCTCCCTCCTGCGCCCCTCCCTCCTCAGCTGGCTAACTTTATGGAACCTCATACACAGGTGCTTTGCTTACTGTTTCTTGCTTCTTACCCCACACACTAAGTTCCCTGAGGTACAGACATAGCCTCTGTTTATTCACTCTGGCAGGCACCCTGGTGCCTAGAACAGTGGCAAGCACAGAGGCCAAGTAAATGTTTATTGAAGGAACTGCCCCGAAATGCTACAAAGCCAAGATTAACCTGCTCAGGCAACATTACTCATCTTGTAGAAACAAACAGCAATGCATTCCCTCCCCCCCACCTGCCCTGCATCTGCCTCCTCACCTGCCCTGCATCTGTATCTGCCCCTGCCCCCACACCTTCCTTCCGTTCCCTATGCTCCACAGCTACAATGAACACGTCAACCTCACCAACGAGGACCCAGCACAGAACACACAGGTCACCGCTGAGGCCCATTTGCTAATTTCACTGCTTGCCTCTTACACTTGGATGCAATGGACTGCAAATAAACTCGGTTATAAATCAAAACAAGCAATCAGATTAGTAAGGGGAGGGAGACAGGGAAGGGCGAGCACCTTGAGGTGGTGTTGGGAAATAACCTTCCACCATTAGTGCTGGTCTCACACACCACGGCCTTCATGTGTCATCACAGCTGCTGTCAGACTCTTCCCATCAAAGTTACCTCATACTTCATAAAAATGAGCAAAACCAGATCCCTTCGGTGCCTCGGGCACCTCGAGCAGATCAGAGGCTTCACAGGCAGCAGCTGCTCAGGGCTGGATCTCAAATAACTGGCACAAACACAGCCACACTTTATTCTGTGATACAGAGGAAACACACACACACACACACACACACACACACACAACCTGCCTCTGTTACTGCAGTCAGGAATAAGGAAAGGATTTCTTTGTTTTTATCAGATTATCCATAGAAACAATCATCACATCACGAAGTCTCAAAACACATGGAGAGACTGGTATGGCTCAGTGGTTAGGGGCTAATATCACACAGTTCGCAGTATCAAAATGCAAGCTTCAGAAGCACCTGTAACTCTAGCTCCAAGGGAGCCATTTCTCTCTTCTAGACTCTGGACATCCACAATCATGTGCACAGACACACACACCAACGTTCACAGAGAGACACATACACACATACACAAAGATTCACAGAGAGATACATACACACATACACAAACACTCATAGAGAGATACACACATACACAAACACTCATAGAGATAGATATACACACAGGGAACAGAGAGATACCTCCCTATTAAAAATAAAAAAAAAATATTTAAAACCAAATAGATAGAAAGGAGAAAATCCCCTCCTTATATTCATAAGAAACGTAATCCAAAAATAATTTTTTAAAGAATCTGCTATATGCCAAGTAACAGGACAGCAACTGGTCTTAGTACTCACAATCGTTTTAGTTTATATTACAGAAGCTAGACAAATTATAGGCTAACATAAAACTTTACAGGCTAAAACATGTCTAACTGAAAAGCATGAGGGAGTGTCATTTTGATACCAGAGCATAAGTACCACCAAGGCTTTGTCTCTCTGCAGTGGGACAGAGGGACAGTCTGAGCAGGATGTTGATTGTTTGCTGTAAGAACCAGAGCTCATCTCCTAGAGGTATCCATTTACATATAAATAAACTGCTAAGGTTTGAGGTTATTTGTTACAGCCTCACAAGCTGTCCCATTCTGACCTTTAACCCCAACAACAGAGATCAAATGAAGCCAGAATCAGCAAAGCACAGCAAAGCACTCAGAACAAGAAGACAGTGAGACTTGGTTATTCCACAATTCCAGTTTCTTTTCAAAGAGATACGGAAGTATTAGTGCGATTATAAGACAAATTATTTCTGAGCCTGAGGCTGATCGTCATTCCTCACAGAAGCACCAAATTCTGATGGAAGGGGAGGATGGGACACTTTGGACCCATATGGGAACCCCTTGGAAAAAGAAGAAACACGAGGAGAAAGTTCTAGAAGCCAATGATGACGCATTACTGACCTTCTGGACTGCCGTGGTCAGGTCCAGGCACAGTTGGATGATTTTGTTCTTGGTCACGGAGAGATCCGTGATCCCTGTGAATGGAGCCCTGGGAAGGAACAAGAACTCTCTTTAATGAGGGGATGGAGAAGAGACCCCCCCAGAGAGTCCCACCCCAACACTGGCATGCACGGCTACACTGCAGGTTGCCATAGGTTTTCTTTCATTGTGCTACTTCTTCTGAACATGTAATAAGGAAATCTGACCGGAGGATGAGCTCTTACAGCATCCGAAGGGGCCCTGCAAACTGCCAAGGGGGAAAAAGCAACCAATAAAGTATCCAGTTGTATCACCTATGAACTGCCACAGTAACCATCATGGTAAGCTATTCTGAAAGCTCCCGGCAGTAACTAACAGCTGTCTCACTGCAGTTAAGGCCTGCTCATAGGAATGATTTCACACCTGTAAATGTAGCAACTTCCTGTGGCTGGTGAGGCCATGGAATTCAAAGGAGGACCCAAAACTCCTAAACCAATGTAATGTCTGCTTTCTAAATCTTGTCCTTAAAACCACAGATACGTGTCTCTCACACCCCTCATCAAATAAGTTTCTTTTACAGTGGACAGGAATCATTATAGAAAAGAACAACTGATCAACAAGCGGAGATCAACTTGCCATGGGGTACCTGGCCCCAAGTAAAACATTTACAACACAACACCCACAGCCAAGGCTCAGGAAAACTGTGGAAGAGGACACAAGATGAGGAGGTATGGAGGGGAGGGTGGATCCAGGAGGGGTTGTGGGGAGGATGGGGGGGGGGGGGGAGGAAGTTTGAATATGAACAAGATACACTGTATAAAGTCTCAATGAGTTAATAAAAACATTCTATTAAACAAACAAACAAACAGACCAGGAATGGGAATGGGAAAAGGCAAGACACAGAAGTGAATGAGCCAAGCCAGGCCCACTAACTGCTTCCTGTCAGTCACAGACTCCAGCACTAATGCTTAATCTCAGTAAATAACCTTTAGCACAGTTCCACTGCCTCTAACCTTGGGTTCATTCGTTCCTGTTGCTGACCTTTGAGGTAAAGTTCAAAGTCACCCTAAGATCTACCTCTGACCCATGACCCCAGAATTCCAGGGAGAGGGAGACCTGGGGACAATGGTTTCTCATCCTGAGGCAAACTTGAGGCTGTTGAGTGACCCAGACCGCATACCCCAGGCTGCACTGTACCACAGCTTACCGATCCAGCCAAGCCAGCAGGGCTTTGGCAGCGCCGATGAGCTCAACCACAGAGGTCAGGAACTCATTGGGGGGCTTGCGGGATGTGTTCCCATCGTAGGCTGGACTCTTCCGCCGGCTACTTATGTAATTCTGCAAATTGTGGGAAGAGGCCCGCAGCTTCAGAACCAAGTTCTTCATATTATCAGTTTCGAGGCCGTAATTCTGTGGGAAATAAATTCAAGCGAGAACAATTCAAAACTATCAACAATGTCTAAACTCTCAAAATGACTTAGCAAACCCTAAGTAGCTAGAGTACCTCATCCAACCCCCACAAAGTCCTGCCTACCCCACCCAACTTTCCCACATGCTGGCCTGTACTCACTCTTCCCTAAGCCTCCCTCCTGTCTCAAGGGGCTGTATTCTCCCTAGCCCCATATCATGAAATGCTCTTCAGATAGATCAAGGCAAGTCCATCCCTATCTCTCAGGCCTGGGCAGATGACCCACCCCTTTGGGCCAGGACTCCTGACCACTTAGTCTAGAGCAGACTTTGGCTAACTGATATGTGGTAGGGTTACTCTTGTGAGGAAAGCTCTCATGTGCAGCAGGATGCTAGCAACTACATGCACACACATGCACACACATGCACACACATGCACACAAGCACATATCAGAAGCTCACTCCCCAGATGTGACAATTAACAATGTCTCCTGAACGTGTCATTGCATATGTTCCCTGAAATTAGTATAGTGCCTTCTGGTTACTCTCCAGCTTGTCACCTATTTGGGCCCCATCTGGACCACAGGCCAGGTCAGGGCTCTCTGTGTGGCCCTAAGTGATGGACAGACAGATGGATTCCAACAGAAAGGACGGTGAAACGGCAACACTATCAGTTCACCCACAATTTACTCTGTGCTTCTTGACCTATGGTCAGCTTACACGCATGCCTGCTTTAGAAACATCAATTTCGGGAACTCAAGGCAGGAACCTGGAGGCAGGAGATGACTCAGAGGCCCTGGAGGGGTGCTGCTTACTGGCTTGCTCCTCAAGGCTTGCTCAGCCTGCTCTCTTAGAGCACCCAGGATACCAGCCCAGGGGTGGTCCCACCCACAGTAAGCTGGGTCCTCCAGATGAATCATCAATCAAGGAAATGTACCACAGGCTTTGCCCACAGGTCAATCTGGAAGGGACATTTTCTCAACAGAGGTTTCCCTATTCCCAAATGACTCTAGCTAGTATCAAACAGACACGAAGCTAGCCAGTACACTGAGTGTCCCTTAAATGCTTGTGACCAGGCATGTTTTAGATTCTGGACAGTTTCCGATTTTGGAATATCTGCATGCACGTGACATACCTTATGGATGGGACTCAATTATGAATGTAAAATTACTCGTTTTTATCTCTACATGGGAAGGCAATCTCATGTTGCACTGCTAGAGTATCTGTGCCTTGACCGTGACCTTAGAAGAGGAGATGAACAATCCTCACTTCCCATCTCGTGCTGACATTCCAAATGTCTCACAGATCTCCTGTCGTCAGACCACGGACGCTCCACCCGCATTGCTATTTAACTGCTGAAGAAACTCAGGCCAGAGAACGATGTGTCACCAGACTACACTGGTGACCAAAGACAAGGCTGGGATTCCAACCTCTGGCTCAGCACGTCATGTACTTCCCCTTCCCAACACCCAGCCCAAGGGAAAGCCAAGACATGAGAGGACACAGGACAGAGAACAGACAAGAGTGAGACAAACAGACCAGTGTGTAGGTGCACACGCTTCACCCATCAGCGAGGAAGCTGAGGCAGGAGCATGAATAGTTTGAAGCCAAGCAGGATTGCATGTTGTGTCTCAAAAACCAAAGAAACAAAAGAATAAGGAAGAACTGGCAGACCTAGAACAAACTAACCAAAGATGCTCGATTCGTGGACACTCTATATTCACGTGATCTACTTCCTCTGGAGCATCAGGATATGTCTGGACTACCCCCAGCCACTTCTGTCAAGGACAGAGAGGGGACAATCATGCACAGTCTATACCTCTACAGCAAACACGCATAATCTATACCTCTACAGCAAACACGCACACTCTATACCTCTACAGCAAACACGCACACTCTATACCTCTACAGCAAACACGCACAGTCTACACCTCTACAGCAAACACGCACACTCTATACCTCTACAGTATGCACATACTCAGGAGTCTGCAGTAACTTTCTCTTTCAGTAAGAAATGATCAGTTAATAATAACACATAGCTATGGCTTTAGTGAAAGTGACTCTAACTTTAAATAGACTTTATGGGAGGTTTAAATTTATAACGCTCCTAGTTTTTTAAAAATAAAAACTTTTAGGAGCTGGAGAAATGACTCGGTGGTTTAAGGACAGTGGCTGTTCTTCAGTGGATCCATGCTCTATTCTCTACTCCCAGATGGCTTCTCACAGCCATCATGACTCCAGTTCCAGGGAATCCAAGACCCTCTTCTGCCCCTGCAGACACTGGGCACATGTGCAGACAAAACGTCCAAACACACTAAATGAAAATAATTCTTTAAAGCACTAATTTTAAAAAGTTAGAAGGGGTGGAGGAGCTGTTTCAGCAGCTTTGAAAAACATCAATATTCCATCTAAATCTTATATTCGCTTTTTCCCTGTCACTAATTTTTTCCCCTAAAGTCTAAAATAGAATACTCCCATTCAATGGCGAAGACAAAATAAAGATAGGTTCCCATCATCGCTTTTAATTTCAAAACCTCACGAGTGAACTGATAAGGAGTCTACAGGACACAGAATGTTTGGAAGGGAAGGCCTGTGCCCAGGACACCAGGGAACGCTCCTTCACTCTGTCAATTACCCAGGTGCCAGTGTCTATAGAGAACTTTCACTAAAAGCAGGAGAGGCCAGTGTTCTACAGCCAACATCACCAGGAATGACTTGGAATTTCCATTCCCCAAGACCCAGTGAAGATTAGAATACATTTTACTATTGCAGAAGACACAAACTGGCTTCTCTGGCAAACTGACCACTTTAAAAACAAAAATGGAAGGGAGAAGGCGGATTTTACAACTGATTCTTTTCTTTTTCGGCTGGGTTTGTTCTGGTTGGTTTCTTCCCCTGCATAAACTATAAAACTAGAAAGATGAGGAGGCAGATGCACACTTGAGCATAATGTTTAAAAAACGGGAGTGGAGAGACGTCCCCTCCCCTCTGTCCCTACTCCACAACAGAGAACAAGACACGAATTCTATTAGCCGGAAAGAGCCGGACAGTGGCCGGGTAACTGGGAAATGTGGGGCTTTCAGAGCCACAACCAAAGGTAAAAGGAAGACCTTCTCAGACTAGATCTGATGGCTATTTTCATGAGTCTTTTCTCTCGAACCTGTCTCCTTCACAAGCTGCTCTTACACAAGGACTCTGGAAGATTCAAATCGAGCTAAGGGCACACCTCATCGTCAGAGAGTTTAGTGGGAGAAGAGCAAGAGGATGAGAAAGAGGAGGAGGATGTGACGAATGCACTAAGAAATGAAATATATCTCTAAAAGCCCTCTAGAACTCCTTCTGCCTTGGTGTGACCTTGCTAGGAGCTGGGCACTAGCAACCCTCTCCAGGTCTGGGTGAGGAGCTGGGAGGTTTCTCCACTGGCCAGAAGTGAAGTTAAGAGCAAGACTCTTACCCTTCTAGAACTTAAATGTTCTTTAAAGGCACCATACACAGCTTTGCCTCCTCTTCTCTCCAGCAATTCAGGCTCTGGTCATGTTCTAACATGTGTGACCAAGTAACGCGGAATCAAAGTAAACTCACTGCCTACATCTACTAAATGGCAACGTGAGAAATATGTCATTTATGGTTTTCTGTACATTAGCAGCCCGGCAATAATGTACATTTCAATCAATTCAATTAAAGCTACCAGCAAAGACTCCTCCGCTGTCTAACATCTCTCCATCAGAGAGAGAGAGAGAGAGAGAGAGAGAGAGAGAGAAACCCTTCTGAATGATGTATTACATTTAAATAGTGACCAATGAATGGCCTGAGGGGGACACAGTGCAGAGATGGTCCATACAGCCATTTCCCTGAACTACAAACCTGGGGTGGCATCACTCAACACTGGTACTAACTTCAACCCTGTTCACAACACCTGTGTCTTTCACTTTTATCTTCAGGAAACCAGAGCTTCACCCACTTTGCAAAGAGCATGGGGGGGGGGGGTCCAAGATGTTTCTCACTGCCCACTCAAAGTTTCTGGCCAGTGCTGTCCAACAGAAGCTGTCCTGACTGTAGTCCTGTGCTCCAATATGGTGGCCACTGGCACCTGCAGCTACTGAGAACTTGCGATAAAGCGAACAGAGTTCAAGCTTGAACTTGGAATGGAATCGCTTCCTACTCTCTAGCTATAACTCACCAGTTTGGAGACTCCACCTCTCAGGTTTAGGTCCTTCTCTGTTCTATCCGTCCTTACCACTGCTCCAAAACTTTCCAGTGATTTCTTACCCCTACATCCTTTCTTAATCCAGCTTCTGTTTACTTCCTGCCCATCAAATAAAAAAAAAAATCAACAATCTAGAAACCTCTTTACAGCACCAGGGCCGACGACAGATCCACATTAACTGACCAGCAAATGAATTATTCAAGGTGAAACACTCTCACTCACGTAATTATAAAGGTCTGCACAGCAGCAGATTAAGTAAACACTATAATGATGCCGTGTTTTAATAGTATTTTATGTAAGACTAGACGAAGACTGAAGATACTCAATAAAACCATGTTAGACTCCCTCCCTCCCAGAACAACATTCACTTGCAGACTTCGGAGGAGGGGTGCCACCCCACCCCAACCCCGGCAACACAGTCAAGGTACACTGCTGTTCAGAGGAGGTCCCCAGTGAGACTGAGGTCAGAGCCTGGTCTACAGAGGAAATTAGTAGGAAATTGTAGGAGATAAAACACAGCTTTAGGTTCTGGCATGGGTCCAGCTTTGTTCATTTCGGTGCAGCACTTTAAAAAGCAGCAAAAAAGGGAGCCGCAAAGAGAGACTGCCCACGGGCCGCTGCTATGTCTCCTCCCCGAGACGCACATCATGCTCACAGCTGACCTGTTCTCCTCATCTTCATGTTGTACATTTCAAAGCAGTCTTCTTGTCCTCAAAGTATACTGCAACTGAAAAGGTAGATGCAACTGCGCAGAACATTCTAGCAGAAAAGACTGCAAAGCTGTGTTTCCCAGAAAGTATAACAGAAGTAAACTCATGTTGGCTCTGAAGAGCAGGCAGTTTTAATAATAAACAGGATGCTTGTACATATCCCCAGCAATGCAGAACACCCACGAGTCCACGGCCACACCTACGGTGACAGTGTGCAGATGAGGGGAACAGACACCACATTCCCCCCAGGGGTCACAGAAGGAGTAGCCTGGAGCAGAGCCAAGATTAGGATATAACAATCCCGCTTCCCAGGCCAGCACGCAGACCACTTGGCCACTGTGTCTCCCTGGTGACAGCTCGTTTATCAACCACAAATCATTTCCTCATTACTCTTCCAAACGAGAGCGGCGCGTCTGAGGGCCAAAGACAAGGCTCTGTCCATTTTAAGAAAAAGAACACTCACAATGCAGCGAGTATTATATAATCAATGGAATGCAGACCAGCGGTGGCACCATCACCACACACACTCATTCCCACCATTCTGGGTGATGTAACTGTATATCCCCCTTGGCTCGGCTTCAGAGTATTGCTAACCCAGCCTGAATGCTGCGGAGGGGGAGGGTATCCAACCCCGACAGTTAAGTGAACAGTTTCCTAAGCGTGGCACCATGACAAGAGACCTGAGTCCCACCCGTGCCAACAGGTTTGTAAACAAATGCCCTTATGGGTGTTTTTATGCCACAGCTGAATGAATTACTTAGGAACCATGTGGGTATAACCACACAGGACTCAGGCAGAGTTCACACACCTGCCCTCTACAGCGAAGACCCAGAGCAAAGTTCACAGTCCCGCCTAGCTAGCTGTCATTTCTTTAGTTGACCGTGTCAAGCACAAACACCAGTTATTTAAACAGAGATCTGTGAAATTCGCGGTGCTTTTTATAGTAACAGAAACAGTCATGGACATGTAGCATTTCTCATCTGAAAATGACATCCTCAGTAACAGCTGTCTCTATCATTCTGTGCTTTATAAAAGAATGAAAACAAGCCTAATACAGACACGGTTATTGGTTTGGTTTTTCTTTTTTGTAACAGACAACACTTTTCTGTACACGAGACAGTACACACTTCGGGTTTTGGAGAGACATGTGGTCTCTGTTAGAGAGATTCCGTTCTGTCCTTGCAGTGCAAAGGCGGCCTGGGATAATAAATACATCCATGACTATGCACACTGAGAACTAATAAAACTTTATTAACAGACAAGGGTGTGGTGTTTATGTAAGTGGATGTAAATGTGTAAATGTGGATAAGACTGACGCTAGAAAGAAGACCAGAAAGGATAAATTATGACAGGTGCCAGGCAAGGGTGGGGTAGACAAAAAGATAAATGCACCATAGAAGAGGAAAAGAGTCTGAGGGAGGAGTGGAGAGGATGCGAGACAAGGGTGGGGGAGAGAGGAGGGAGGAGAATCTACTAAAATACGCTTTGTTTAAAAACATCGTGTTATCTAATACCTTGTGTGCTAATTTTTAAATCCATTCATTCACTCCGGGAGGAAAAAAAAAAAAAAAAACTCTGGGAAGATAGCTCAGACAGTTGGTGAAATAGCCTTGTAAATACAAGGCCCTAAGATCAGTGCCCAGCACACAGATAAAATGCCAGGCACAACACCACGAAATGGAATTCCAGCGGTGGGAGAGGTGGGAACAGAAGGACCCTGGGGCTTACCGGTCAGATCATCTATTGACCAACTGGAGAGCTCAAGGCCAATGAAAGACCCTGTCTCAAAGGTGGACAGTGTTTCCATGGGCAACATCCAAAATTGTCCTTCTGCCTCCACACATACACATACACACGCATGTGCATTTAACATGTAAGCAAACACTCACACATACACATGCATGCATGCATCAAAGTGTGCCAGACTAAGCGAATGCCTTCTCGTTGGCTAGCCTTTCCTCTAGAAGCTGCCTTGCTTTCTCCTCTGATTGTCCTCCGATGCTTCTTTTCATCCTGTTAAGAACATGAGGATGGGCTGAACCACAAGAGGAAACAGGTCACCTTCTCCCAGACTAACCAGTGCACAAAGAAGGTCCACCGCCTCCAACACCAGCTCTTGGTGTCCGATCCGTGTGACCCCCAGTTCCTCCAGATCCTGGTGGGAGATCTTCAGCAGCTGCTCCCCGTCTATCTTTTCCCGCTCAAATTTGTGGACGTACGGCTGCAGGCAGTCATCCAACCCTAGGAAGATAAAACACGGAAAGCCCGTTATTGTCATGGTGTCACGGGGTCCCAAGCATTGTCCACACTTAAATCAGTCTTAGCACTCATCGGACATGTGTTCCACCTGACGGGTCCCTTCCCTGTGACATCTTATCTCAAACAGATTGGACATGGGCACTGCAAACTCTCAAATAGATCCCACACAGCATGGCTTTATGACAGACGCTTCCCATTTCCTGTCAACTAAAGGGAGAAACACCAACCCCCACTGATTTGAAACATTTATATCTGTATTAAACCCATGCTATCTGTTTGCTAAGCAATCCTTCTCCAGGGACGCCACTCCTCTCCCAGTAGGCCTGCCAATCAAGATGCTTGTCACTGTGACTGATACACAGCCAGCCCGGCAACAATACTCTAGTGACAGAGTCGGAGACAATCAAGTGACTTAAGCAGAGCCAATCATGATCTTCCCTGATACATGATATGCAGATAGAGAAGACAGGGCCCAGTTAGAAGTCACGGGACACGACCCTGGTAGTGGGGCAGCACTTCTTTGGTCAGTTTTCTGAGAATAAACACATTTGAGAAAGAAAGAGAAAATGTTCTGATAGCCTTCTATCCCCCAAATCTCTCACTAACACTGAAACAAATTCCCTGTCTGGCTTAAGCCTGATTGTCCACTGTAACTGAAAATTTTGTGGTAAACACAGACTTTAAGGGACAGGATACAAGCCCCAGGACCAGGGATTTTTCCAGGTCAAAATAAGTAATGTCTCATCTTACAGTAAGCAGTTAATGTGAGGAGACCCGGCCGCCTTGGGAATCTCTATTCCTGTACACAGAACTCCCAGGGCAACTTCTTATCATGTTTTTATGGGGAAAAAATTACTCCAAAGCAATTAATCTGCTTGACTTTAATAAGAAGTCACCTTAGTATTTCAAAAGACTATATTCATATAAGATGGAAAGAGACAATATTAATACAACGTCAAGCCCCACATAAAGGACATTCAATATAACTAATCAAAGCATGCGGAAAGCCTCCTTGAGTCTGACACAGATATGTATAGATGAACACGTGTGTGCAGACACACATTCTTGCAAGCACATGTATGTATCTCATTGGACCTTTTTAAAAACTGTGTTATGTGTATCTCTCGAAGTTGGAAAAAGTGTACGCAAATTCCTTCATTTACTTTTGACAATGCCCAAGCCCATGGGTCTTAAAATCTGACATGGAAAGATAAACTCCATCTCTGCCCCAAAAACTTCCACCACTCTCCTCCTGATAGGACACACAGAAGAGAATGAGAGGTTCTGAAACTTACTAGCAGCTGTGATGGTTTGAATATGGCTGGCCCAGGGAGTAGCACTACTGGCAGGTGTGGCCTTGTTGGAGAAGTAGGTCACTGTGGGTGTGGGTTTTAAGACTCTTGTCCTAGCCTCCTGAAGCCAGTCTTCTCCTAGCAGCCTTCAGAAGAAGATGTGGAACTCTCAGTTCCTCCTACACAATGCCTGCCTGGACACTGCCATGTTCCTACCTTGATGATAACGGACTGAACCTCTGAACCTGTAAACTAGCCCCAATTAAATGTCCTTTATAAGAGTTGCCTTGGTCATGGTGTCTGTTCACAGCAGTAAAACCCTAACAAAGACAGGAGGTATGAAACACAAAAAAGGAAGACAGCAAAGCCCTCTACCTTCCCTGAGGAGACAACTATAAGAGAGAGGCCATGTCACAACAAGGATGCTGGGGACACTGGTGCAAACCCAACCCACTCCAGCATCCTTGAGTGCTGTCTGTAGCACATAAGTTAGGTAGATAGTAGAGGTTAAGACAGATTACTTACACTCATAGGTTTTGAGACAGGTGGCCCACCTGTGGTCAAAAGCCAACTCACCACTGGCCCATCAAGACAGGAGGACAGTCTCCTAGCTACCTGTCTTGGCTTCCCAGATGAAGGAATGAAAGCTCCTAGCAGGCCTGTAAGCAGCCACAGTCATACATGAAGGAGATGCCATGGGGATCAATTCTGTCTTTGCTTCTCTTCAGTGAGACCAAAGACAGAAACCTGAATTTGTCTAAGATCTGAGGGCCACACGTCTTGCTCTTTCATGTTCTGCCTGGTCCAGTACTCAAGGCATTGCAACATGGGATTATACAAACCCTTTTCCAGCACCTTCCTAAATGAGTAAAAAAGTCTAATCACAAAGCCGTTATTACCATCCAACCTCGGACACTTAGCAGGCCGTAGCTTCTTCAGATCTCAATGATCAGGGTGAAGAGAAAACAAACCACCATATGACGTAGTCACCTCCAAGTCTTGTCATGAGCAAACCCAGCGCTCTCCTCTCCTCCATGATGCAGCCTTCCCTAGCCTACTCCTCAACTTTAAAAAGATGTTTCACTAGTCAGAGAGGTTCAGGACAATTACATCACACTTAAACCTTCTTGAGACTGAACGATGTCCAACTAAAACTCGTATACGGTCAGTCTAACATCAGTCTAATTCCCGGGGCTTCAGAAGATATTTAGAGAGTCTTCAACAAACTTGCTGGCATGCTTTCAACTCCTGTGACTGGTGTCCTTGCAAAGCAAAAAGATAAAGACACAGCTACACAGACATGAGCTGAGAACCTGGGAAAAGACGACCATTCACAAGCCACAGAGAGAGGCGTTAGTCCCAGGCTTCCATCCTTGGGAAGTGTGAAGATATTCATATCCACATGTATAACCTTTTCCCCCCATGGATGAGTGGGGTTGATACTGATGCTCACAGTGCCAGGAAGGATCATTACTCAAAACTCAGGCACAATGCCAACAGACTGGCTCACACTAGTTTGTATGGACAGAATCAGTTCTACTGTTAAACTTATAACAAAGGGCTGGGAGTATGGATGTTATAGTGTTTGGCTAACACACACACGGGTCAGGGTTCCATCCCTAGCACTACATAAAACCAGGCATGGTAAAGCACGCCTGTAACATGCCCCCCCCCAACTCAACAGGTGCTATATTAAAGCAAGACGGTAGATGTCCAATGCCAGCCTCAGCTAACAGTAAGTTTGAACCCAGATGGAATACATTAAAACTATATACCGTGGCTACCGAGTCATGGCATCCAGTAAGGTAAGAAGTGAGAATAAGACCAGAGTCCTGAATTTCCACAAACCACAGAGAAAACAGGGTGTCAGAAACAGAACTAGAGCCCCAAGGTAGCGCTCAGGGCCTAGAGAAGCCTGGATGGGTTATAATGAACATTCTAGAGCACAGGTTACAATAGTCAGAAACTGACAATTTAAGGTCACATAACAGTGAGCATGGCCTTGAGGTTTCTAAGGGAGCCTAAGCAGTCTGAGCTCAACTCATCAGCTCAGTGAGGCTGGATTATCGAGTGCAAGCATCGTAAGGTCAGTAACCCCTAGTGTGGTTCACACACTCTTCTGTAAGGTGGCACAGACATTGAATAACTGTCTCTTAAACAGCACTGCCACAGAGCTGTATTACTGCAGCACACCGTGGCCTACTGTTCATTCGCCCTATTGTTTAGAACACAATTAGGCATTCTCAAACAGCTAATTTAAACTATTACGCAGTCCCACAGCAGAGGGGGCTCAGATATGAGTAAACTGATCTAACACCTTTGGGGCCTGTTGCAAGCCATCCTTCTGCTCTGCTCTGCTCACAAGTGGACTTATTGTCAATCCTGTCTTTGAGGAACTTATAAGAGATGTATGATTTAAGTAAAATTCAGTTAAACACAGGCCATTTGCCCAAATCCAATTAAACACACAATGGAACGTGAAGAAAGTGGGGTGGGGCAGGGGCGGGCTTCATCCTGACTTGTCTCCAGAGAGGTGAGTGAGTCAGTACTAACACTCCCCAGAGCATAACTGTAAGGAAAACTAGATGCCAGTGTTAGAAAGAGCATAACACGTATGAAACACATAACGGATACTTTGTAAATTTTGTTAAATCGAAAAAAAAGAAAGAAAGAAAAACAAACCCATGATTTATTTGAGTCTTTAATTTTCCAAGTGTGTGAAGTTAATGCTTAGATGGTCCCCTCCAGGACAGAGTTAACTGGGGTCAAGGTGGGGAGGAACATCTTAACAGCCTACAGGATGACGGTGCCCAGAGGTTGTCCCCAAATTTGGACACTTGTAGATAGCAAGAATAACTGGCTGGCTAGTTATTCTTGAGAAGTCTAGCACTCACAGAGAAAGGACTGCTTGCTTAGTTTTGAAGGGGAGACTGCAGAAGCCTTTGAAGAGATGAAAGGCTACATCTAGGCCCCATTCCCAGCCTTCTGCTGGCTAAAGTCACACATTAAAGCTGGGCACAAAAAACAGCACTTCCAAGGACCCAGAAGCTGCCAAATGCCATAGGTAATCTACAGCCTTTTTCATACAACAAAACAAAACCTGGTCACCTCTCCTGCTGTCCCCATATCCTGTCTGTCCCCATGTTCTCTCCCCGACCTTCTTAGCATCTATGACAGACCCTCTTCCATCTCTTCTCTGTGATATCCCTGCTGATCTGTTTCCATACTGGCCTCCCGAACATTTACCTTAAACTTTCCAAGTTTCAACCCCAGATGATCTAGCCTCTTTTCAATGGTGATCTGTAGTGCAGGGCGGGGTGGGAACAGGGGAAGGGGTAGGCCTGTATCAACCAAGAACTAAAATTTTATTTCACAGTCTGAAGGGAAGATTAAGTTTTTCCATGTAGCAAATTAAGAAAATTCAAAAACTTCACTTATATTTCATGACCCAAAAAACATCAGGAAGAATTTCAGCTTACTAATATGACCCAGCTCTGGCTTCTCAGATTTGTATGTGCTTGAAAGTGTAGGGACCCAATGAGAGTCCCAATACTAAGAAGGAAGAGTGCTTAAGTCCAACTGGCTAGTTCTGGCCCATTATAATGTTTGTTATTTACTTTTAACACAACCAGTTTTTGTCACACCAAGTCCTAACGAGATTCTTAAAGTTGTTGTGGCTATACATCAGAG